AGTTACTGAAGATTTTCTGTAAAAACCCATTAGATGCTTTTTTTTGTAAATAGAACAGTGCATATAATTTTTTATCTTTGCCTTTCTTCTTTTATGTCTCATAATACAACAGTTCAAATTCAGCAGAGATGAGGTACTGCTCTGGCTCCAATAAAAGTCAAAATGATAATACTTCACATAAAAGAGTGGACTGGCTGTCACATTTTTCACATGTGCAAAGCAGTCTAGGATTTTAACAGTGATGGCATGAATAATCACATTACGCAGGTGCAAAGCAAAAAAAGAAAAATAATTTAGCACATCTAACATGTGACTGTTGTTAAAAGAGTGCTGTGTTTATCCTCTTTTCTTATCACCCTCTGCTTTGTTTGGAAGTGTGACTGTGGTGTATGAACGACACCATGTGGACAAAAGTAAGTATCGCCACTTGCAACTTCAAGCTATGACCATAGTAATCTATTGATGTCATAAAGTATTTGGGATATTAGTTTGTGTTCTAAAAAGATTGCAATCAAAAATTCATATGTATAAATGATTGAATATTGATTTGTTTTTATAATTATACAATCTTCGGATTATAGAGTAGATTTATACCCCACATAAGATAAGAGTTGTTTTTTTTTTCTGCAGATCTAACTGAAGGAAAACCAGTGAAGCGTGAAAGGAATTGATTTTCCTCTATGTACATTTGCATTTCAACAGCACACTTGTGTATGAATGCCAGAAAGGGCATTCAGTACAGAAGGTTCCTGTGAGTCACTGAAGCAATACATCACGCACTCAGCCTTCATCCATTCAGCCCACAGCTTGCAATATGCAAGCAGCAATATGACAAATCTTTTTGGATCTTGTGAGTTAAAGATGGGCTGACATATGCATATGAATATAAAAATATTCAGAACATCAGTATGATTCTGTAAGGCGGCGTCACTAAATGACAGATATAAACAAACAAACCACACACTAGAGTCCTGGAACAAAATATTCATACCCCTTAAGTTTTCTATTTCGTAACATTTCAACCACAAACTTGGATATATTTTTATGAAAATTTTGTAAATGATAAACCAATTCAAAATAGTCCTATATGGAAGGGTGATATGACGGTAATACAGTACATGATTTATGCATGTTTTAATTTCTATATCTTCCAATGTTTTTTTCATGAGTGCACAGGAAACAGAATAAAAATTACAAGAAAAAAAGTTGGTCAGGCCACACAATTTAGCCAAGGTTGCTATTTAACAGATGGAAACTGTGATCCTTTACTAATATGGCTGAAGCTTAAAGCTGACTGTAATTTCTAAGTAATTTTGAAAGTAAATAATAAATAAAATATAAAGACAAATCAGTTCTCCTCTGTCAGCGCGTACCATCATATGAAATTGATTTATTATAAAACACTGAAAACTGAACTAAAATTAATTAAACATTCCTTAAAATAGGCATATACTGACCTTATTTGGGCAAGTGAATAAGATAATAGGCCAAAGGAATGGCTTGAAAAAGCTTGAAAAAGTTCAATCAAGGCAACTGGACATACAATTTTACAAGAGGCTTCTTCAGTTCTAACTAGTGGAGGGGAGCAATGAGAATAATATGCCAAAGGAATGGGTACATTTGTCCTTGAAATAGTATAATTAGAAAAGTATGCATTTGAAATAAAATTTTTCTGATTTTAAACATAAATCGTCTCATTCCATCAGCAAATGGTTTTACTGCTCTAAAAATGGGTAAATAAAGTTATTTAATAAAAAACTGATTTACTTATATGTCAACTTATGTATTGTGTTATTTTTTTTTCATCATATCAGAGGCCACGAAAAGCTCTAGAGGGGCACTTCCACTAGTGGCCACTGTTTAGAACCACCCATGTTTTACACACATCTGGATATAGAGCTGGCTGGATCTGATCCCAAAGTCTTGGTCCAGGTTTATAAGTTGGATTGTTTGGTTATGGATAGATCTGCTTCCATTCCCAGTCTGACCAGATGCCATTCCATGGCATTTATGCTGCTAACACCATGCTTTACTTCTACACTGTTGATTTAAATTTTTTTAAAATCTTTAAGAAGAGTATACTTTTTTTAATGTTTAATGAAAGGTGTGCATATGACTAATAGTTTTCCTGTCAGCAGATTCTCTTTTTTAGCTGCTTTTCTTAATCTGATTATTCGCTGTGACCTTAGATGAAAAGCAGAGGCTTTAGTGGGTTTCAGGTTGTTTCATACTCTCTCTGTGTTATGTTGGACAGTCTTCTCCACAGCTTTGTCCTCAATCTGTTTGAAGTGTTCCTTGCTGTTCTTGCCTCATTTATGTTCCATAAGACAATTACATATAGGGTATATTTTTGTTGATAGCACATTGTATCCTAGGGTGGGTTCTTTTCACACGATATTGCAAAGATTTTGGATTTAGACAGAATTAAATGCATTTACAAAATCATATTTTCCTTTATTTTCACTTCACAGTTACTTTTAAAATGTAGAATAAATAATAAGAATTATAAATTAATTCATACGGTTACCTAAACTGAGTATTTGGGTATCTGAAAAGCAGGGGCAGAGCTATATGGGGGGTGGGGGGGGGTGGGGGGTGCACGGTCACCCCTGTGGCCACCCTTACTGTACCATTTTTTCCCCCTCTAATACAGATGCTGGCAGCAGTAATACTCTCAAGTGGAATATTCAAAACATTTTAATTTTTTGTGGTTATTCATACACATCAATATACTAACATCAAATATAATAAGTACATAATTCGTGCACTTTTCAGAACTACATTTTGTGTTATATGGGGTAAAGAGAAAAATATGTCTTGCAAGTCATCTAGGATTCTTCAGTGAACTCATAAATAACAATTTTAATAAAAACTTATCAAATAATCAATTTATGTAGATATTAGTGCTTGTTAATATCAATGTTATGCAGAATGTTTATTGACACAAGTGGGTAATAATGGAAAAGATTTATGCCCCAGAACTCAAAACTGAAACAGTTTTATCCACTTTACCTTTAATCTAGAAATTACGGATGTTTAAAATGTTTAAATAGGTCCGGGACCTATAAAGTCAACCAGGGTATACAGAAGTTGGTAAAGAGGTCATTATGGAGTCTGCATTTTTTTTATTCTATTTATTTATTTTCTTATTTTTTCCTACTTGCTATGATTCTGCTTTTTTTAAAATATATTTTAATCATGTAAAGCACTTTGCTTTGTCTTTTTACTGAATTGTGCTATACAAATAAATTTGCCTTGCCTTACCTTTATTTAGAAAATATGGATGCTTTGCTCATTCATTTTGCTGTTGTAATAGTGTAGATTGACGCTGAGGTTCTGGTGCCTATCCGCTTTTGGCCACCCCTCAGTGTACATTGGTTATTACGGAAGAGGATTAGGGCCACTGGAATTTCTTTTTTTTTATATTAACTGATTTTTACATTTTATTTCAGTAGAATATGAGAAAAAAGTCAGAATTCTGACTTTAATCTAAGCATTCTGACTTTAATCACATAATTCTGACTTTTTCTCAGAATTCTGACCTTAATCTCAGAATTTTACTTAATGTAGATGGGCACCATGAATGAAGAGATGTGAGAGCACTCAAAATTACAGACTTTTTACATGCCTGATGGGTCCACGCTAATACTATTTCATTAAAGGAGAAGTTCGGTTTTTTACACTTTAAGCCCATTTTCTGTAGTGTCCAGGATGAAATCGAATGATCGACACCAAACGTTTGACAATTGCTCCTGTCTCTGCTTTTTGGCTCATTTAGAATCAACCCCTGGCTGCTTTAGAATGGCTAGCATAGAGCATGTCCGATAATGTCCTTAAAACAACCTTAAACGTTCTTTTTTTTTAAATATGCTACTCACCGTGTCGTCAGCGCTGTTCAATGACGTTCCAAAAAAAGTTTCGTGAAGAAAAAACGTTCCTGTAGTGTTTTATTTAGCATTTTGTAAATCCCATTGAGTTCTGTAGGAATAGTCAATATTCCGCTGCCACCGGAAACGGAAATGGGGCCTGTTTACACAGTTGTAGTCTTTTCGCTTCACTCTGTGTACTCCGACGTCGAGAATCAAGAATCCACCTTTCGTATTCCATTTTCAGAGTTTTTTAAAGTGTTTAACAGAGACGTTAGCGCCTCAACGTCGGAGTACACAGAGTGAAGCGAAAAGACTACAACTGTGTAAACAGGCCCCATTTCCGTTTCCGGTGGCAGCGGAATATTGACTATTCCTACAGAACTCAATGGGATTTACACAATGCTAAATAAAACACTACAGGAACGTTTTTTCTTCACGAAACTTTTTTTGGAACGTCATTGAACAGCGCTGACGACACGGTGAGTAGCATAATTAAAAAAAAGAACGTTTAAGGTTGTTTTAAGGACATTATCGGACATGCTCTATGCTAGCCATTCTAAAGCAGCCAGGGGGTGATTCTAAATGAGCCAAAAAGCAGAGACAGGAGCAATTGTCAAACTTTTGGTGTCGATCATTCGATTTCATCCTGGACACTACAGAAAATGGGCTTAAAGTGTAAAAAACCGAACTTCTCCTTTAATGAAAGAGCAGATGCTAACATGTTTTTTAGCTGTCAGAATTCAGTCAGAGTTCTGAGATTAGAGTCAGAATTGTGAGGAAAAATTCAGAATTCTGAGATTAAATTCAGAATTCTGAGATTAAATTCAGAATTCTGACTTTTTCTGAGAATTATGACTTTAACCTCAGAATTCTGACTTTTTTCTCCTATCATACTGAAATAAAATGTAAAAATCAGTTAACTTTTTTCTTTTTTTTCAGTGGCCCTAATCCTCTTCCGTAGGTTATTGCCAGGCCACCCTTATAAAAATGTTCTGGCTACGCCTCTGCTGGAAAATATCAGTCTGAATTTGCAGTATCCTTTTGTAATGAGAGAGCTCAGAAGCAGTGACCCAAAAATCAGTTACATTTTAACAACGCCGCGAGTCATGCGCGCAGAATATTACGCACGACGTGAGGAGTTTCCCTTTCTTCCCTCATGCAAACGCCCCTCTTCTGTCCACCAAGGCTCCCTGACTGTTAGCCACCGCTACCGGCTTGTGCCTGTCTGCTGTCCCAGTCTGCAGCGCTGCATCTCCCCACTGTAGAGAGAGAGAGAGAGAGACTGAGAAAGGAGAGAGAAAGATAGTCTCCGGGGCGGTGGCGGCAGGGTCCTGCAAACTCAATGTCCAAAATCTTGACATCCGGACCTAAGAAGGCAGGTAAGCAGTTTTTAATCGTATTGTCCTGATTTGACAGCGCCCGCAGGTGCATGCCTGCTGCGTTCACCGGTTATTGCGAAGTGCCAATTGTGCAGAAGCAGAGAGAGGAAGAGGAGGACCTCATCTCATGGCAGTGATGCGCTTTGCTGCTGGAACAGGGCTTTTAAATGCAAAGATGTCGCTTTTGTGAGCAGAGATCATTGGGCGGAGGTGGAGGGTGTTGCCACACAGCGTTAACATGGTCAATATGGTCGTTTAATAAGCAGCGCAGAATGAGCGCATCCTTTACATCATGCTGATCGGGCCCATGTAGGAAGCAGGTGCACCTTTGTTCCTTTTCTCTAAAAGCATCAAGCATACCAAGGTTATTATTCTCCAGATATTGTCTCAGCATATTTTTTATGCTCATTGATGTTTTTTCTTCCTATGTGGAGCTATACCAGCTGATGCTTAGGATAATGAGCTAATTAAAGAGGGGATGTATTGACGCGGGTGTGGCAGAGGGGGCAGGCATGGGTGCCTCGGTCTCCTGAGTGTGTGACCTGCTATCTGACAGGGTAGTAATTTAGAAGACCTCTTTAACTAACAGAGTTAGTTTGAAGGGAACTGCTGCTGCCTGTGTGGAAGCAGGAAATAACAGAAGCTGACCATGCATAATCTAATTTATCAGATCGCTTTTCAGGGAAAGCCAGAAGACAATGGAGATTGCAAATTAGTTATCTAATAAGCCTGAGCAAGTAGGTGCTCCAGTTTATTCAAATCAAAGTGGATTTAGTAAGCATGTTGGAAAAACTTCAGTACTATATGCCAACCACAGCTCTGGACCCTTGTTCTACCAAAGCGCCATAATCAAAGGAAATCTAACTTACCTTAGCCCTGTGCTCCAAAGACTTCTCTAAGACTCGACGTCTGGGACTCCTATTGCACCCCTTTCTCATCCAACAAGGGTTAAAAGATAGGGTTCAAGTTTAAATCAGTTAAATTATGTTTTTGCCTTAAAGTTGTTGTATACACAGGGGTGCTTCTAACTACATACCAGTGAAATGTTCCTTCATAGGTTTTAAATACACATTTTAAACAATCTTCTGTAGTGAATTCCAGAGATGCACCAAACCCAATAACTGGATCAGATATCGGCTCTGATATTGACTAATTAGGTGAATCAGATATTAAATCCAGTGCACTTTACATGGAAATGTTATATCTTTCTTTTTGCTGCTTCTTTGTTAATAAATAATATAAAGTACATTTATATCTGTATTTTTTTTTTTACAGTGTTTATGTTGAGGATTAGGTGTTCACTCACATGGAAAGATATATGGTTCATTCATTCAACATTTGAATAGGATCGTATCTGATATCGGCATATACGCTCAGCTTAGGTATACGTATCAAATTGGATCGGGAATAACTTTATCAGTGCATCTCTAGTAAATTTGTCTCCAACAAATGAGAAAAAAGCATCTAAACATTAACAATGCCTTATGGGGCATATAAGGAGTCTGTTTGGGTACAGGCAATGTCACTAAGAAACAGTTCTTCCAAGTAATACCACTTCCTGTTTGAGAAATTTTGAAATTATTTAACTGGCTGTTACATATTTCCTCTAGTTTAGTTTTTAGGATATATGCATATCTTTTGTTTGGTAAGCATGCTCAATTTTAATCAATAATAACAGTTTAATAGGTGATTAACAACTGTGCTGAAAAAAAAGCATGCATTATCAAATATCACGCAGTAGTTTGGGGATCCAGTGAGTTATAAGTCTGCATCTATTGCCTAAACGAGCGGGCTTGTCAGCTCTCATTACAATTGCCCTCTTTTGTTCATATTCCTCTGAGTCAAACAGACTGTGAGCCCTCGAGTATCTGGCTCCTTTGCAGCCACGCCACAGGCCACAGAAAATCCCAGACTCCCGGGGTTTGTCAAGCAGTCAGTAAAAAGAATTAGATCTGAAATCCATCCATCTGTCCATCCATTGCTGTGTCCCTCTGTGCATCCTCTCATCTCGTTTTTCCTTTCACCTGCTCCACTTTTTAAGAGTCCCTTGTATTCATTTTGACAGTGCAAACACAGACAGACTGGGTCTTCTTTGTAGCAGCCCTTTGCTGCTTTAGATAAAAGGATAAAGTGCTCTTTAGTGGAATGTATTAGCTATTAGCTATTTTTGTATTAGTATAACCAGTCTTCAGTTAAACTTGGTCAGAGGGTTAAAGTATGTGGACGATGCATGCAGAAATGCTCTGCATTGCTTCCAGACAATGAATAAGGTTGAACCTAAGTTCCATTCAATATCTTCTCAGAAGGCAGTTTTGTTTTGCATAATAATTCACCATGCCTGCTTGTTTAGAGTAAAGTAACTTTAATACAGTTCCCCCTCAAGGCCTTTGTGGGGTTATCCTGTGATTGATTTGTAATACCTCGTTGAAGCAGAGAGCCTATCTGGAGCTCTCCACTGGATAAACTCAAATTACTTTCAAGTCAGAGGAGCTTTCAAAGGCATATCAAGATAACAGCATGTAATAAACTGTCAGTTTTGCATTATCACCACAAAAGATGCACAAATCACTAAGCTGAAGTTATGACTGGTGGTATGACAGAGGTATATTTATATGGAAGCCGCATATTATCACTAGAGGAAACGTTCTGGTTTTAACACCTGTGGTAATGGATTTTTAGAGAGAATATCAGCCTGATTGCTGATACGTATGGTGAACTGAAGTAAAAGTAATGAGTTTCATTGAGCTTAAGAGGAAAAGGGAATTTTCTGTGATAGATGCTGTGATTCTAAAATCAGAAAGAGTCACTGAATGAGATTTCTTGAAAACGATAGAGAAAAGAAAAGCTGAATTCTTAGATTAAATGCATTATACATTGTTGGTTTTCTGAAATTCAGAGATCATATAAAGAATTAGAATCTGCTCTATTTGACCATGATTGTGAACACAGTAAAGGTGTTTGACATTTGTTACCGCACTTACAGCATGCAGACATTAAGTATAGACGTATAGATAACAAAATGTATATGCTTTTTTCTGTATGTAAGAAAAGACAAAAAAGGTTTGTTATGGTACAAATCTGCTTATTTTGTCTCACATCACTGTGGCTTTCTACTCAGGTTATGAATATATTTATATGAGGTTATGGTTTATTTTTATTGTTTTTAACAGCCCTTTCATAGAAGGAGTGTACAATAAGCCCTGATAATCCTCTCTGCAGTGTCGATCATTTTGAGTTTTATAGATATATGCTTATCTGTTTGCATTATTTCACACTCCCTCATATCCACCTCCTATTTCTTCATATATATTACCTATATAGTTAAGAATGCATCAAGCTATTGTCCTCTACAGTCACATTGTCAATAAGTACCAATGATCTAGTTCCACTGGCAGCATCCCTGATATACAGTATATTACTGCTCCCCTGTTTAACAGATAAGGTTGACCTTAACTGATGAAGATTCTCAGGCTTTTTCCATCTAGTCCTCTTCTGTCATTCCAATCCAGAATGCTGCTGCCTACAGATTATAGATTTGTTTTCATTTTATCAGACCCGCAGAGTTCCCAGGTCTTCTGGCTCAAATCTATTTTGTATTTCTAGAATCTGAACCAAAGGTGGAGAAGTATACGGAAGGCCGTTTTGACATTTATTAGAAGCATTGTCCTCTCTATTGTTCCATGTGTTGAAATGAAACAACAAGATTTTTCCGAATCAAAACTATATTCCTACTACCCAGAAATGTACATAAAGATATCCTAAATTATATTTTTGCCAGCACAAATTACATTTCAGCCTGCCAAAAACATAATTGGACTAGTAAGAATAAACTTTCAAATACCTAGAAATATTTACAACCTTGAAGTGGCCCTTTTGACATTAGTGTCATGATACGTGGTTGGTTTGCTAGCCCAAGGATGCAGAATTCACAGACTCAGAGGCAGGATAAAGTCCAATGTTTATTATTTGGCTCTGGTCTCCCACCTGGGAGGCAGAGAGCACAGAAAACAGGTTAACTCAGGGATCAGAAACTAACTCAAAAACTCACTGGTTCGCTGGTTCAGACAGGCAGAGTTCAACAGAGTCCCTGTGTCAGAAACGGGCATAGCATGAGGAGGCTATGACCGTACAGGGCACACATGGCTTGGGAATACAAGGCTTGGAAACAATGGCTAACACATGGCTGTGGGTAACACAGGCTACATGGCTTGGGAACAGATGGCTACGATCCGGCTCCGAGTGGAGCTGAGACACAGCTTATATGGGGAGAGGTTAATGAGCAGAGCTGATGGGAAACAGCTGTGCGCAGAGAACCAGCTCCCAGGGAAAGATCCATATCGCCCTCTGGAGGGCAAACCCCTGGATCCAAACAGAAACAGAAGCCAAACAGAATGGGATCCACACCGCCCTCTGGAGGGCAAACCTTGGATCCCAACAATTAGCTTGACTAAATATATATTTAAGATGTGCATTTCTCCCTAGTCAAAATGAACATTTCAGAAATGTAAAATAACATTCTTCCTATCTAAAATATACCTTCTTCATATCTAAAAATGAATTCTGACTAGGATGAATTCTAATTTCTGATCTCCATAATGTCATGATCGGTTCTCTAATGGAGACCCAAAGATGCAGAACACCACTGACGGACACAGGATGAAAAGTTTAACAAGTTTATTTGCACAATCACACTGTATATGCTGAAGGCTGGTTCGGGCCTGGATTCTGGTTTCACCGGAGTCTGCGTGAGAGACAGCACAGTTAAGGACTGTTGACGGGGTTTGGTTTCCAAAGAAGCACAGATAGTACCTTGAGGGTTCTTGAGGTTCACTTTGGGAGAGTCACTGTTGGTTCTGGAGAAGGATTTAGTTGCAGAGTCCGTTAGCTGCTCCAGCGTCTCACGTCTAGTTTGAGCAGACCTTGGCATTGGTTTCCCAGCTCTAGCCCAGAGCTGCTTGGAGGTTGTCAGAGGATTTTCAGGGTTTGGCTCAGAGGGTCGG